ATTAGATTAGATCTTATTTATAATTATATTATCTTATTAGAGTAGAACTTATTAGATTATCTTATGGATTCGTCATAATAAAACTTAAGTAACAATTTTTAACTTGATTGCCAGAGCTTAAAGCATATAGATATTTGTTAAGCTCTCATCTTTTGAGAACTGCCTGTGGATAATTTATTTAATGTTTTAAATGTCTTTGTCTCTTATTTGTTAAAATTCTTAATAGCTGTTAGGTATATTTTTAGCTATGGCTCTGCGTAGCGTATTCTTACCTCCACTAAACGTTTCCACCCCCCAGTAGAGTTCATAACTTGGACGTATCAGAAAGATATGAATTCCCTCCAGCTGTAATGATATTGCGCAACAGCTGGGATTTGTACCCCCGCCGGAAGACCTGCAGACTATATGCGAGATATCATTTTTTTTTTCACCAGTTACTGAAAATAAAGTTTCTTTTTTTTCTGGTTGATATGTGAGGAAAACTCAATTCGACAAAAAAAAAATATCATTTACTGTAGTCTTACCTTTTAATATTTTAATTGCGCATAGTTTCGTTACATATGCTACAAGCGTTTACGCCATATGTGTCACTACGTAAGTACTCTCGTAAATAAACGCTTAGCACATTTTCTGTGTGCTATCATTCGTATTTATTTTATGCTTGCAGCTCATTATTATTCTTTTTTTTTTTTAAAGCTGAATTTCTTGTCATATTCTTTACCTTTGTATCAGAAGTAAAATGCACAGTGTTCGTTTTTATGAAATTGAAGTTATATGAAAGTTATTGAAGTTATATGAGCTTATGAAATTGAATTATGTCTTAACACATTGCTGACCGGCCACGAGTTAACTCGTGTTTTCGTTAGCAGTGATCTCATAGTGACTATTTTAAAAAGTGGACGTAATTTTCATTACTTTTCAAGTTTTACTATTTAATTCTCTACCAATTTATTATAACTTTATGAAACTTGATATATTTGCAAAACTTGTGATGTACCATTTCTCATAGGTGATTTTTAACTCTTTATAACACGGCATTAAAAATTACATATTTTTAAAGTTTATTTAAATTGTTTTACTTTCACAATAGCGGGGCACATGGGATAATTTTCAGAAAAGTTACCGGTCAGCAATGTGTTAAGCCAAAAAATAACTGATTTAGCTAGTTAGAAAAGACTATAACAGAGATGCCAAATGCTCCTGACACGCCAAAATAATTAAAAAAACGGTAAATAACTACAAAGCAAATTTTGCAAATATTTGATTATTTTTACTTGCTTTTTAAAAGGTGTATCATGGCGTAAGTATACTATGAAGTGATGAATTATATGAGCCTACGAATTATTAAGAAATAGTGGTGGATANTTCAGAAAAGTTACCGGTCAGCAATGTGTTAAGCCAAAAAATAACTGATTTAGCTAGTTAGAAAAGACTATAACAGTTTAAAAATATATATATTTGCTGTCCGGAGTAAGTTGGCATCTCTGCTATAATAGTATGTTGAAAAAAAATAAAATTATGGCTAGAAAAAAAAAATTATTTAACTGGTTCTGAATATTTTAACATTTGAGGAATAGTTCCTTTTACCTCTGATACGCAGATATGTTGTTTTTATTTCATATAATGAAGCATTTTTTACGTGAATATTTAAATAGCATTTTAAAATATTCATTTAACGTTGTTTTTCGAAGCTCTTGTTATCAAGGAAAATAAAAAGCCATGTTTAAGTGCCTTCCTCTTGAAGCAATGCGATGATCTTAAACAATATATATCCGTGAAGAATTATCTGGGCTTTAGAACGGAAAAATAACTTAAATATTTTAAAGGTTATTAAGCTTTTTTTAAAATCGCCAAATTGGCGACATTTTCCACCTAGATGGAAATTATCAAAATCACTGCAGTATTCTCAGTTTTTGCAAATTTTTATAAGCCCGGGTAATGCAACATTGGAGTAAGTTTTTAAATATTAAAAAAATTAGACTACAAACACTTTTCCTTTTCAGAAAACTGTGGCTTTTCTCCATTTTGAAGTTTTGCGCCATTTTCAAAATAAGTGTAGACATCGCTGACTTTAGATAGGCTAAACTTGACCTAACGGTCATGTGAAACGGTTGCAAACTCACAGCAGTTATAAAAATAGCATATTATTCGCAAGAAAGGATCCTTTCATATTACGACGGAGCCTTCGATTCGTATGTCGTGATATTACCGTAGTGTTATTTCCTTTTGACTAGTCTTAATTTCTTTAAATATAAATAAAGAAAACAAAAATTATCTCGTTTTTACTTTGTATTCTAATGAGCTGAATGATTAACTACAGGGTAACACGGATTTGAGTATAGTTATCTAGTGTTGGAAACACCGTGCCTGTCGGTAAAATTTTATTTGCACGTATTGGAACAAACAAAAAAAGGAGATCAAAAAGACCTACATACAACAAAGCCCTAATTACAATATTCGGATTAAAAAGTTATGATTTTTTTTTAATCTCTTTTTACTATTAAGAGGCCCTTCCTGAACTGTCAAAGGGGGGAAATAGAGAGGAAAATTCTTAATATGCTTTACATTTAATTTCCACAAATAAACTGATGGTGGATATTTACTCTATTTGGCATAATTTTTCGATGCATATAAAATACAAGATCATCACCTAATCAGAGCTTGACATATAAAGAGTGCTGTAATTTCAATTCTTCTTTTTTATTTTTTTGACAAAATCATACCAAAGCTTGTTTTGCAATTAGTACTTTTTGAAATGTAGTTACAAAGTATGCATTTGCCTGTTTTTAAATAATTTTTGATAAATATCTTTGTTATTGTGCAACTTATGTTCTAAGAATCCCACATATCTGTTTTTATCAGTTTAGACTGTAATGAAATTAAATTTTAAAAAATCTAAAAACTGTCAAATGTGTAATGTTAAATTATTGATTCAAAACCACAAATCGCAGATTTTTAATGTTTAAAAGTTGTGAAGAAAATCTTATAGAAAGTCTGAAAATTATCAAGCTCTATTTTTCCTAACGCGACCTCTTTTGAAGGATATTGTGTCGTTAAAAGCTTCTTAAATACAAAGAAAAACGAAATACAAAAATTCAAGCTGAAATTCAAGATGGCGCGGGTTCTTAAGTTCTAAAAATAGAATTTTTTTTAAGTAGGGATACAGTCTAAATTTGATTTTAATCAAATCATTTAATTAATGACTTTTTGTTTATTAGGTATAAAGATATTTTATTTTAAAATTAACTTGCGTCCCAGATAGAGTTACTCTTTTGCTCATTTTTACTTATAAACCACTTGTTAAAAGCAGTTTCTGAATTATTAGCTGAATTCGTTGATTTTCGAAGTTGATTTCACTGATTTATATTCCTTGGTAGGATTGTAAGGTTTTCTTCCGCTACTATTCACACTGTTATAGTATATTTTTCTTGCTCATACATCATAACCCTTCTTTTTTGCAGAAGTCTAGAGATTACACTGGTTATAATGAAAAATAGGTGAAAATTACAGATTTACAAAAAATACAAAAGAAATTACAGATTTCAGATTTCCTTAGTAAAACCAAAGCAACCAACATCACCTACCAACGAAATTTTAATCACATAAAATGATAAATTCTGTGTAATCGTGCATTACAAAGAGTGTTAATTTATTATTTTTAATTCTGATGACCGTGTGTATAGCTGAATTAAGACAGCATATTGTTTAAAATAAGGAAAGAAAGATCTCTGTGCTAAATTATGTGTAAAAAAACTTTTCTGCCGACTTTGATTAATGAGGTATTCGGGTAATTAAGGTTCTATTAACTACTAACTATTAACTAATTTAAAAAGTTATTTAAACAATGACACTTACATAAAATTTCCTAGAACAATCTATCCATATAGCTGTTATACGGTTAATTAACTCATAACTCAAAGCATAATAACACCACAGTTCAAGAAACAAAGGAAATTAGTTTTTAAGCTGTGGTGTTCTGTCTTGGTTTCATCAGGACAAACATACGTTTCTAGAGAACTGGAACTTAAACTACCCTTATTCCGTTTTCATGAGAGTAAACAACGAAATTACTATGAAGTTGCTAATTCGATTGTAATTAGCGAGACTAAAATTTATTTCCAATAATTCCTCCGTAATGAGAAATAGTTTACGTTAGTGAGAAAAATAACAGTGCAATCATTCAAAGAGGAGGTATAATTATCGATGATATCCCATGAAAGTTAATAATCCATAATACAATTGAAGTCTCAGGGCATTGTAATAAACCACATTTTCAAACTATTCAAGAGAAAGTTTTCTGATCGTTTTTTATGAAAAATACCACGATTTCCATGTGAGCAATAAAAATTTTTTGTGTTTTTTGTTGGTATCTGGTGGAAGGACCGGAAGCTTATAAAGTACCTATCTAGAACTAAACTAAGGAGCAGTTTGTTGTAACTAAGGTCACCTTTGGTAATCGTGTGACTTATTAACATATACCTCGAAGCCCTTCAGTTTCGTATCCTCACACACACACAATTGTGAACTAGCAGGTTTTTCTTTATTTTAAACTAAATTTGGTAATAAAAGAAGTTTGAATCTACATTACATAAACATATAGCTTCGAAAATTGATGAGAAAGTAAATTTGAATAAATTAATACTGAGACTCTCAGAAATCAAGTTGATAATTTTTTTCAATAAGTCATAACCTCTCTTTTTTTCTTTCTTTCTTTTTGCCTTTAGAAACGCAAGTTCAAGTATTTGCTTCACAGTTTTGCTGATTTTAATTATTATTATTATTTGTATACCCATGTATCAGTTTTATTATGATATTGCGGCTCTCAGTATTTTAAATGTGTACAAAAAATATTTTTTAAAATCGAAGGCTATTTGAGAAAAACTTGCATTTAATCATCGCAACTATTTGCAAAATGTGTTTTAACTGAATAAATCTTTTACGAGGTCGTCGAGTTCCCATTTATTTATCATTGATCAATCAGATATTTGACTGTCACAGTGTCCTTTTTTATATTTTATTTCTTATCTATTTCTCACATTTAATTCCATTTTTCTTTTCTTCTTTTCTTTGCAGATCTACAGGTGTGTTTGTATTCATCTACGCTTCTTTCTATTATCTGCAGCGTTCAAACATGGACGGTCTTCTTCAAGCTGTTGAATTTTTCGGCTACACTAGTCTCACGTGCTACGTTTTCTTTCTCACTTTGGGCACCGTTTCTTTCTTCTCTTCACTTCAATTCGTCAAATATATCTACAGAAACGTCAAAGTGGATTAAAATGCATACGATCAACAAAGAATTTTTTTCAGAGAGCGGAACAAATAATGACATTTTCCAAGTTTTGAAAAGAAAGGTGATGGTTTATATAAAAAAGGGTACTTTTTAGGTATTTCATATGAAAATGATCTCGTTTGCGATTAAATGTCATTTAAGGCTGTTCTTTGACGACTCTGTTTGCTATATAAAATTCTCTTTTCATCAAAAAATAAGTTTTTTTTTATAACTGTTATGAGCTAGTAACAGTTATTCATGCGTGCTAGGTTAAATTTTGTCCATCTTTATTTGGAGCCCTCCATGCTTATTATAAAAATGGCTAAAAGAAAAAAAAAGCCGCAATTATGGGAATAAGAAAAGCGTTTTTGGTCAAATTTTTTAAAAATTATTCCAACTCTGCCTTATCGAGCCCATAAAAATTTGCAATAATTTAAACTTGTTCATTAATTTTAAACAGTGCTTTTCGATACTCTTTCGCCATTGTTCCTTAAATAATTATTCTGGCTTTAAAACGGACCAATAAATTAAATATTCTATGTTATAAGAACAGAATATAACTTAAATATTCTGTGTGTCTGATAACTTAATTACTGTGGTGTAATTTTTCAACCTAGAACAAATTGCGCAAACTATGAATAATTCTAAAATTTTAAAAAAAATTTATGTGCCCAAAAAATACATCGTTGGAGTAACCTTTGAAATATTAAAAAATTAGATCACAAACCCTTTTCAATTTCACAGAATTGCACCATTTTTAAAATTAGCATTAAGGGCTCTGGTTAAATATAGGTTTAACATGACCTAACAGTGATGTTAATAATGAATAATTCTTGCAAAGTCGCAGCAGTTAGGAATAGACCACTTAATTCGGAAAAAAAAGAAAGGGAAAAAAAAAGTTTTTTCATGTGATGACAGATCTTTCAAAACATTGCCGATTTTCATTTCAAAAACTCGCCAAGTTGGCGATTTTTAAAAAAAATATTTTTAGCTGTTTATTTATTATAAATTCCATACAATTCTTTTCAGCAAGGTATTTAAAACCAAAGCTTTGTTTTGTTTCAAATTTAGAGCAATCGAATTGTTTTACTTGTTTTTCCACCTTAAACGAAAGAGCTTCGAGAAAGAAATTACCTGGGGTTGCTCATAAACTTTGACAGTCTATTATAGTTGTGGTAAAATGTTTTTGTGGAACATCTTTGCTTTTGTTTGTTTTATTTACAATATTTATAAAAAAATTGTTATAAAATTATAAAACTATTTAAAAGTTGTAAATTTGATATGCTCTATGAAACGCTGGTAAATTTTGTCTTACGTCCCATTAAACTTGTATTAATGCTGAGCTAAGAAAAAATTTAAATTGCATTTCGGAAATAATTTTTATGTCCCTTCATCGATCCAAATGATTTTAAAAATAGACATCTTACTGTAGTCAAATGCAATTTTACACATATGCTACAAATAAAATAAAAAATATGTGATTTTTTTCCTTGAAAATTTTTATTAATTAGGATTTTTGATTATTGTCTGAATGAATAAAAAAAAACATATTTTATGTGAGGGATTTAAAAGATATGATTTTCTTTTAATTTTATTTATTATTCAATGTAAAGTATACAAATATGTTTTGTATATATTTTTTCTTAAAACTTCCATTTCAGATTATCAATTAACAAATGCCAGCTACGTAGAATGATCATGCCATTATGTAATATTTGTAATATGTTACAAATGTATAGTTCAGCATGCTTACGTCTTTTTCTTTTTTATCTTCTACAGGTTGATTGGAATTAAAGTTACGATTTCAAAAATCGATAATTTTAAAACTACTTGTCAGAATGACCTGATATTTTTAGAGAACAATCGTGAGGCAATGGAATTTTGTTTGGCGATACTAATGGATTCGTTACACATAGAAATGTTGTTAGCCAAAAGGAAACAATAGAGTTCAGAGGTTTACTAAAAAATTATTAGCCGAAAGGCATGAATACATGTTTTCAGCGACAACAGTGATATTGTCAACAACAAAAAACAGCTTCATGGAACTAACATCTTATTGATGATTAAGGCGTAAGTTGTTCGATGTTCCCTCCGGCTTGTTGCGCTTGTAATTGGAAGCGCAAAACGGCATGCTCCACAACACATCGGAGGGTATCTGTAATGATGCAATTGATGTGGTGTGTGATGCTTACCTTCAAGTCGGCTGGATTCTCAATCTGCCAGCTGTAAACAACATTCTTCAGGTAACCCCTAAGACAGAAATCACACCGGTTTAAGTTGAGGTAACGTGGGACCATGTTATTGGAAAATGGTAGCTTATGATCCTATCATCTCCGAAATGAGCACTCAGCAGCTGCTTCACAGGAGTGGCAATGTGCGGAGGAGCTACATCTTGCATGAATATTGTGCGATCCACACACTAGTTTTAAAATTATCGATTTTTGAAATTGTAACTTTAATTATAATCACCCTGTGCATTACACTGTAAAACAGTTTTGTTTCCTTGTTGCTTGAGATCTTATATACTATCGCTCCGCGGGTTTCATATCTACAAACGGTTTTTCTCTACCATCTTCAGTTTTAATGCAATTTAATAATATAGTCCGAACCAGGATTTTTTTTAAAAATTACTTGATTGATGATGTCCCCACTTTTTTCTTACGTAGATCGTGGTAAAAAACATGCGTTAATACATTTCAGTTTATACTGCACTACGTTTAATGTTTCTTTTTTTCTTTCGTGTTATTTTCAAAGGAGCAGACAGGCACAAAACTAAAAATATTCCACTGACTGTATATGTAATTAAGAAAGGCTTTTTAACATTTACAATACCGAAGAGTGTCCTCTTTGGCTGTACGGAAATTTCTGAAAAGCCTTTTGTAACTATTTCTTGAACTTATGAATTAAATGATTTACTCACGCTTATGAATTAAACCAAGCCTTAAACCCGTGAAACCTTCCCCTCTTTTTTTTAATTGCATTATTGAGTGTTTCTGTGAAATTATTCAATATGATAAGGGAATGACGAAATAATTCGAGGTTTAACTAAATATGGAAACTTTCGAGGGCAATAGCATTTTATGAGACCATATTCTTACTTGAGCTGAACGTTTTACTTAATATCTTAGCCCATAGAAATTGTTTCGTCTCTTCTGCATTGTTCAGATAAATTTTCTGTACTTAATGTTCGGTGCAATTTTTTTTAAATCATAATACAAATCTGATAAATCTACAAATTGCTCGTAGGTTACTTAGATTCTTAATATAATGTGAACTATACCTTGAAGTATTTAGTTTTAGATTTTTCACAGTATATACTTCTTTTATAAACTAAGCGTGGTATTTAATGTAATGTCCTCTACTAAGTCAACAAGAGTGCCCTTGTGGTTCTGAGATAGAATAAATTTTTTCTAGCTTTTATTCTAATTAATGAAAGCAAAATCTGAATTCTCTTGGACGTTAATGAAATTGAGAAACCCATGTTAATTATTTAAGAGCTCAATAGTTTCAATGATAATAAATAGACAAAAAATTTTAGCACTGTTTTAAAGTCGGCATTTTTTAAATTTTTTTTAAAAATTTAATTGAGCTTTATGAACAAAATTTGAGATTTTGTTCAATTAAACCACCGTCCCAGTTATACTAGTCAGTATTATCGTTTTTTTTTTCTTCCTGAAATTAAAGAAGGAGAAAAATACACTCATTTATTCAATATCTTAAATGTCATGCTCATGATATCTTATAACACATCATGAGTTCACGAATCGTAGTAATATTGTTCCTAATGCAAGAATTCGCATTTGCAACTAACTTATGCTTTACGGGAAGCTAACTTGGCAGCATTGTAGGCATTACCTCGATAAATATATAGGTAGCGCAAACTACTTAAAAAAGTGAATCAATTAACGATAAGCAAACCTCTTAGAAAATTTAATAAAGGATAATGCCCTATCTCAATATTTATATACCATTTATCAATATCTAATAATTAAAAAGAAAAATAGGAAAATAATTTTATTCTCCAGCGAAGTTTACTTTTGGATCTATATTTGCTACTACTTTCATTATTCTTGTATTTGCACGTGTATACCAGTTGGCTTATGCGTAAACCAGTCATTTTTTAATTTTTTTGCTCATACTTTTTGCGTAACGAACGGGGAGTGGAAGATGCTTTTAATACTTCATCTCATAGATGGCGATTTGCGCAGTGTTGCATCAGTTGAGTTTCGATTTCAGCCATTGTAACCTAAACATTTATTCTACTTGGTATTTAACATATTTACTGTTATAAAGCGTGTGATTTGATTAAATGCAATACTTTCTGAAATAAAGGTTCACTCATCAGAAAGAAATTTTGAGTCTCTGGTTGGTGCGGCCATGCGAATTACGATATTCTTAAGGTTCATTCGTTTAATTTATTTCCGATGAGGGGATTTGCTTATGTGTTGCATTTAATCAAACTATAACGAACATACTCTATAGTTAAAAATATATTTATTAACAAGTAGAATGCATATTCAAGTTATAAAAGCATAATCGAATCTGAGCAGCAGTATGTAATGTCCCAAAAACTAGAGTTATTCTTTTCCCGATAGAAAATAAGATTCGATAGAAAATAACTGATACGCCTTGCCAAGTTAAACTGACGTAAACCATCGTGTGCAAATGTTTTATTATTATTTTTATTAATATTTCAATGACTGATGTTTAAAAAAAATGTCTGTTTCATTATTCATGCTGTTTCTCGCTATGAAGTGTTTTTTCATATTTATTCAAGAACTTTTTCTTATTTGCGTTTGAAAAACCAAATTGAAATTATGTTGCTCGTTAACCATTCTTACTTATTGTTAAATTTGTACATTGTTTTTTTCATAAAGTATTTTTATAAGTATGTGGATATACATATTAAAATGTATTGAGTTTTTATGTTGTTGCTTTGTTTATTACTATATCAAATGTTGTAGATTAAATTTGTATAATAAAAATGAATTAAAAATAATAATATGTGTACTGTTACCTCCATGGTTGTCAACTTATCTCAAACTTATTAAGTGCTTACAAAATATTGGCATATTATTAGAGAACTTTGTCTTGAATTCATGGTGGAGACAATTAAGTGCTTTAAAGTAAATCAATTTGGCGAGTGAATCATTCATTTAGAGTTGTGGTACACAACTTGAATCTTAATAACAGATCACTTTCATGGGTGCAACTTATCAGTCCTAGGGACTGAATTCAGTCTTAAGCTGACAGTAGGCTAAATTTCATCAATTAATATCATTTGTGTTTTAAATTAAAATTTTCTTTTTTCCTTAAAAATGTAACAAATATTTTTTCTTAAAATAAATTATTACATTTTAATGAAAACGTTGTTATCTTGCATAATTATTGCGAAATTATTAAGTAATGTTGTCTCACGGCAATGAAAGAATAGGATTGATTGAACTTTAGATCCTGCTTCCTTAAACAAAATTTGTACTGTTGTTGCGTTTAAATTTGCTTGAGTTTTCATTTTCTCCAACATTTTGAAATGCTGGGCAAAGTTAGGATTATTTTTAGGGGAAAAAAAAAGAAATTTATTGAGATGGGGTAAAAGATCAATAATTGTGAAATTAAAAATATGAATAGCTTCATGAAAAAATCAGTGGTTTATTATTTCAGTTATTGTTGTAAAAATGAATTAATAAAATGAAGAAAAAAAAATGTTTTAAGAAAAAATAATTGAATCAGTCATTTAATATATAAGCCATAATTTTGGCAGGGTACGTTTTGAAATAATTGAGCTTTAAATTTCTGTAAATTCTGGTAAACAACGTTAGACCTTGTTAATTCGTCACAAAATAAGTTCACTCTTGAAACTTTTAGATTGGCACACATGCAATTTTCCTCTTTATTTTTATTTGTAGGCGATTATGCTTTAATACTCGCTCTTTCAAAAAAAAAAAAAAAAATGGGAACTTAAATCATTTCATTTTTTTTGTTGCAAATTTCAGGCATTTTAATGATGTAAACCATAATATATTATTAAAATTAATTCCTTAGTATCGATGTTGAAAAATTTTAATGCTATTTTTTAAACTAAAAGTAATGATTAATTATGGAAAATATCCAATTTGTTCAAGCATAAATATCATACAACTTTCTTTTAACACGTTGAATGATTTCTAGTTTTTTTAAAGGCTTAGTGTGAGATATCTGATAAAAGTGGTGAATTATATAAGCCCACGAATTGTTTAGAAATAGCGGTGGATAAAAATCTACTAAATTGAAATTATTAAATCTAGAATCGCAATTAATAAATTACAACTTGAAAATATTTATTGGCTGTCCGGAGCAAGTTGGCATATATGTGTATATAAATAAAACTATTTTTGTGTGTTCTAGATTGCATTAATTTCTTCAAGCCATTTTAGTAACGATAATAATATAAAAAAAATAAAAATTTACTCGAATTATGTGTTTCTTAATAATTTTGGCTTTACCGGTGACCCCCATGGCATTCAACGTGTTAAAGGCATTTTTATAGTTACTACAAATTGATTCATTTACTTCACAGTGTAGGGAATGGGTAAAAAAAACAACAGATAATTAGATGACATTTTATATTATAATCGGCGTTAAACAGCCGATTAATTCTGAGTTTACGACTGTCAATGTTCTTGCCTTGTAATTTTGAACCCAACTACAGAAGACAAGGGACAAATTAGCCTTCGTGGAGGAATTTTTAGTGGAACTAACCCGCATTTGCGTCTGCCACTGAGGGTATTTTACGTCAGCACTGTGGTCGATGCGAGCTAGGAGCAGAATTCGTATCAACCAGAAACCGCTGTGATTCAAACCTGGATCACCTCGTTGGGAGGCGAACGCCCTTTTCCCTAAGCCACTGCGGCTCTAATGGCATATTAGTAATAACAAAAGCAGTTTTTATTATTTTTAAAAAAAAAAACTTGATTTAGATTATGATTTTGAAATATTTCATGTTCCAAAAACACTAATGTTGCAACAAACTTCTGAAGGAGTAAGGGTGCATCATCATGATTAAAATTGCACTTCCATGCCCGGGAATGACTTCATACGCCGCTATGGGAACTTCACCATCACCTCCTACATCAGAAAGCCTCCACACGATTTTTTTAAGTAGTCTGCGCAGACTATTTAAAAAAGTAAACCAGTGGTGCGCATGAACTCAAATTCTATTTTAAAAGTAAGTGAGAGAAATTTATCATATATATTTGAGAATTGAATTTGTAGTGGTTGACAAGTAAATAAGACAAACCAATCATATTCATAAATTAAACAAATATTTACACATGTATTTGCTACCACTTTCTTATATTTACTAGATTTTCTATTAAATGGCTCTTTCCTAAACTGGTTTACTTTCATTGTGGTCAGATCGGAGTACTAATAAGAAACCGTGTGCCTCTAAGCAGATCATTATAGGAAAATGCTCCTAGCGGCTTTCCCAGGAGTGCCTTCTTATGCAGTTTTTATTCTGATGATTTCAGACTGAAATCCCCACAGACAAATTAGGCAAGATCAAGTATTTGTATACAACATAAAGTTTCTTTCCAAGTGCTATCAAACGATTTTTGGGAAATCTTAGATATTCTCTATCCAAGCTAATATATGCATATTAATAAATAAAAGTCAACGTGCAGCGGAAATTACAAATATAACAAACATAAAAATAAATCAGATTAAGTTGTCAAGCATGCTATATGTAATTATTTGTATAGAAAACCAAGTATTACTTTTGCCTCCCAGAAAATCTTTTAATTACTATTTTAAATATATGTCAAACAATAAAATGTATGAAATAATGTCAAAATGAAGGCATGTTTCTAGTTTTTAACTTAAAATTTATTAAGATCTTGGTAATTATGTAATCTTTATTGTTTATCTTGGAAATTAGCCTTCTAGTCTTGTTTCCAAAAAAATCCACCGTAATTTTTATGAAAAACTTAAATAGGGGACGAAATGAGAGTATTTTCAAGATTAAATATTTAAAAATTAATTTTTTTTTATTCTTTCCTATTTGTACCAAAATCAACAACGCGTTAAATAGTTTAAAATATACAACAACTGTTTTTAAAATACATTCATTTTTTTTAAATGCATTACAAAAAGGGAAAATATTTTTTGATGAAAAAAAATCCAGAAAAAAAGACTGTATATCGTAAAATAACGAATACACATCGAGTCATAGCATTAAAAAAGTCATTCTTCATTTTTATAAAAAAAAATTTATATTTGATTAAAAAGAAAATTAAAGAAGTACAAAAAAAATTAATGTTTCGATTGTGAGCCCCAATTCCAAAGTGATGTTTTATTTTTAAAAAATTTCCTCTGTTTTCATAAAATTCACAAGACATAACACATTAAATTGAAAAGAATGAATGAAGAGTTCACATGGTCTTTCTCTAAATGCCCTCCCTCCGATATTTTTGTCTGGCATTTACTCTTTGTGAATATTTCGTAAAACTTAACCCCATCTCACCCCTTGGAAAATGCGGAAACTCTCAATTCGAAGTCAAACATGTAGCTTTACTGCTGCGCGCTGTTCTTTCCATCTTTAGTAAAACTTATACTCATTGAACTTTAACCTTATAGAAAGTTTTTTTTACCCCCTCCAATGCTCGCCTGGTGAATGACCTTTCGTCATACAGGTATCTGAGGGGCAGATTTGATGGCCACTTTTCCACGGGCACCACGTTAGGTGGGCCAAATTGGCTCACACAGAAAGGGCAGATAGTACAGAGAATGAAAGACCATCCATGCCTTGCCGGGATTCGAACCCAGAACCTTTCTGATGCAAGGCCAGTTCCCTGACTCCTACACAGGCCGGTCGGCACCTATTAGAAAGTTAATCTAATATTATATAATTTTTAGAAAGTTAATCTAATATTATATAATTTTTAGAAAGTTAATCTAATACAGTAGACGCCGCTTAATGTGATCACATCGGGACGAACATGATTTGATAACAATAACCGATTGATTACAATAAACAAAAAAAATTTAAGNTTTAGAAAGTTAATCTAATATTATATAATTTTTAGAAAGTTAATCTAATATTATATAATTTTTAGAAAGTTAATCTAATATTATATAATTTTTAGAAAGTTAATCTAATATTATATAATTTTTAGAAAGTTAATCTAATATTATATAATTTTTAGAAAGTTAATCTAATATTATATAATTTTTAGAAAGTTAATCTAATATTATATAATTTTTAGAAACTTAATCTAATATTATATATTTTTTAGAAACTTAATCTAATATTATATAATTTTTAAAAAAAAACAACAACCTATAAATATATTTTTCAAAAAAGTTTTATTGGCCAAAATTGAATAAATAAAAACTTTTGAGAACATTAAACCTAAATTTAGTTCGGCGCCCCCCCCTAACCTGGCGCTTCGGGCAGTCCGCCCACCCCTTTCACAGACCCTGCACTTTTCTATCTGTTAGCTTGCCACCGATTTCCGAATCATCAATTACTAATCAATAAACAATCGTTTAAAAAAATATCAATTACAATTTTGTAAAATCAATTACAATTGTTTTAAATCAATTTACTTAAAATTAACGTAGACATTCTTTAAGTTGATATAGATTTAACACTTATTGTTTTTGTTTCTTTTTTTTCTTCCTCCAAACAGAAATTTTTATTTTATTCTATGACTCAGTCCTGCAAACGTGAAAGGAATACCTAGATTACCAGCTGCGGTCAGTTCAACACAATTTTTCGACGGGAAATCCCAAGGCCACTTTCTTCTACTGTTACCGTCACTAGGCCGACTGAAAAGCTAAACCACACCTACAGATTTAAATTTGCAAAATAATAAAAAAAAAACTGTGACAGACAGATATTTTTTACATCCAATTCAATGGAATACAAACTACTCCTCCAGTCTAGATGCTTTAAGAGATAGAAATGATACTTTTATTCTCATAAAATAAAGAAAAACAATAGCATCACTTTAAATTCAG